GGGGATGAACAAAGGAGTGGTCGTCCTACGACGGCTGTCACCGAAGAAAATGTGCTGCCAATAAAAAAAAATGTTCAAGAAAACAGATTAATACGTACGAAGAGATTTAGCATACTCTGCAGATTGGTTCACGAAGTGTTCACAAGATTTTGCACGAGCACCTTTGCGTAAGGAGGATAGTTTCCCGCTGGGTGCCGCACAACCTCACCGAAGTTCAGAAGCAGACCCGTGTGGATTGATGCAGTGATATGATACAAAAATTTGATGCAGGCTCGTCACGGCGCGTTTACGATATTGTGACAGATGACGAATCCTGGATTTATCAATACGATCCAGAAACAAAGCGTCAGTCGGCAGTTTGGCTGTTTCAAAATGGACCATCGCCTACGAAAGTGAAGGGATCGAGGAGCGCAGGGAAAATTTTGATCGTTACTTCACTTTGACGGGGTACCTAATTTCAATTCCATTTCGAGACCAAAGCAGCATCAACGCCGAATAGCACAAAATGCCTGCCAGAAGTTTTTTCTGCAATGAGCAAAAAGCGACCTTACACTGGGCTCCGCGGGGTCCTTCTTCACCACGACAACGCGCCCGCGTTTTCTACGATCAAAACGAAGGACTTCCTGGACTCCACACCAATCAGAGTCTTGGGACATCTTTCTTACAGTCCTGAATTGGCTCCGTGTGGCTTCTTTTTATTCCCTAAAATAAAAAAAATGTCGTGAATGTTATTTACGTAATCGCCATTTTGTTATCAAGCAAAAGACAACAATACAGCTCAGCCGTGCGGACTCGGAAGCGGACTCGCTGTTTCGCTCGCGCTGCGTTGAAGCTTACAGTTCCATCTCGCTCGCTTGATTGAATGTTTATTTACAGACATGTGCGTGTGTAAGAGTTGCTTATGTAGTTGAGTCGGAGCATATTTTATTTGATGCTAGTATGAGCGTACCAGCTTAACTTCCCTTTTTGTTTAAATGTAAGTTTTTATTTAATTAAATTGTCTCTTAAACTGGTAACTAAATGAGCTCGATGGCGTAGTGGGTAGCACTTTCGGCTTGCAAAAGGTTGGTAAAAGTTATGGAACTTTTCGTAATTGATGGATTTCACAGATTGGATGGGTGATCGAAAATCTATTGCTTCACCGTACTTCGGAAAAGTTTTGGGTACGCTATTGAACTCGGCGGCAAGTGGCATATGCAAGCATTAGTACCAGTACCCCGAGCACGAATTATGTTTGACAGATCCGTGTGTGTTGTCGAGATTTCTATGGAAACTTTTTTGTCATCATTCATCGATGCTTTTCAGAACTAGAATTTATTGGCGTTGTAATAAAGCAGTAGTGGATCACTAAATAGCTCGGTGATTATCACTTCCACTCTGTTCTTAGGAAAATTGATAAAATGGCTTTCACCTTTCTCACGCCTTATTGCTTGAATGAATCTCGTCACCTGATCTGTAACTGTATTTTGCGATAGATAAACCACTGTTACCACAAAAGTATTACCTATTTATTTTCTGCATGACTGAAAATGTTCATACACTGGACAATAAATAAACTGGATCACTTGCAACCTTAGAAGTCTGATTTGATTGCTTTCTCAAAAATTCTAAAACTTACAACAATCATGCTGCTATCATGAAGATTAAAATAAACAGAAAACCATTGAGATTAATCAAATATATATTTTTTTTACTTCATACAGTCAGCTTATAGCCATGGGTCCCACACTAGGAGGTTCTGTATCGTGGGTACTGTAACGTCCGTTACGTTACAGCCTCCTTGTTTGGGTAAACTCTTTGTTCATGTAATGCCTACGGCTGGCAGTTATATTAAAAAGTTAATGTCATGATTTTAATAATTGAAATTAGGAATCATCTGTCTTTTGATAGAAGATTCTACATCATATAGACTTCAGGAACCAAACCATACGTTAATAAGATTAAACTCATATATATTATAATCGCCTGAAATCTAATAAAACCAATATAAAATCAAAGTTGTTTCAATAAATTGCTACGCTCCCAGGGCTACCCCTTCAGGGTAGATCGCCGCAGTACCCAATGAATGTACAAAAGACAACGATAATAAATACCAGATTGCAACATATGAAAGAGTAAAATTACGGAATACAGATTCAGATACAGAATCAATTACAATCTATCAATATCTGTTTGTGAAAACTTGTAATTGGCTTATTGTTTCTTATTTTAAACTAATAGCTATGATACCCGGCTTCGCTCGGGAGTTGATATGAGATTACGTGGTAGTTGAAATAAAAAAATAAAATATGACGTAAAATGTAAAAAAATGAAAATATTTTCTCATTATTTACACTACTTGTTAATAAACAACATTTTTCATTTAATTGTCCGGGGTAATTTTTTTTTTTCGAATTTCCTACTCTTGAGCAAGCTACATTATAGCTGACCGTGAGAGAAGCAGCAGTCTTTGAGGTTGATGCCACAATATTTTAAAGTTTGCCCTTGCGCTTTGTTAATTATAAAACAATCTTTTAAATTGATATGGCAATTCAGAAGAGATTAGTGGTATTCTACTTTCTCACAACTTCTTGAAGTTCAAATACTCGACAACAGATGGCGCCGCTACACTTAATTTCCAAGTTCAAATACTCGACAACAGATGGCGCCACTACACTTAATTTCCAAGTTGAAGGGTTGGAAAAGCTCTTATATCTTTAAAAACACGCCCTTTAGGTTAAAACGGAAACTTTCTTGTTCGAGGGGGAATAAAGGACTATCACACTATATAAGTCCTTTTATCGTGCCGGGACTCTTTAGGTTTTATCGGCATGCACATTTTATGAACTTAGTTTTATTATATAATAATATTTTTTCGCGTTTTAATAGCTGTTGGTTTTCCATACAGTAAATAAATAAATAAAAAGTTTTTATTAAGAATTTTCCAAAAAAGAGTCGTTTCCAGTTGTGTTAATCGGTAGTTAAAATCGTTGAAAAATACCAGTGGCGGCGCTAGACCACATGTGGACGTCGGCGACATCAAGTTCGCGAGGCCTATTTTACTTCGCAGTAAAAAACCGTTAAATTATGTAAGCCAAATTATAAAATAACGTATGAGTAAACGACTTTTATTGTTGATAATCAAATGATGACGAAAAAATAATTACAAATATAGAAATTTAATAACAAAAATAATGTTGCCAGACAGACGATTCTGAATACCCGTAAAGTACTACTCGCTTCCATCACGCACATGTTCGAAAATAATAAAAGTCATTATCATCTGCTTAGCTTTTTCCCCGAATTGTTCGGGGTCGGCTACCTAAGCCAGGCCAGAAGAAACGAAAATAAATAGGTAACTTGTAAAAATTTTTTGCGAGGCCCCCTCAGGCGCGAGGCCGTCGGCGGTGGCCGACGTCGCCGACGCCTAGCAACGCCACTGAAAAATACACACGTCTGAGAAAACTATGGACAAATATTAAGGAAGTGATAATAAATAAGTATAGGACTATCCCTTTGAGTATCTATAAATTACCAAAGGACTATCCTCATTTTTTAAAAAAGAAAATAAGCGCAACTCTTCAAAAATTAGCCAATCGTTAGCATTATGTTTCTTGCTTGATTACAAAGTACTTAAGTTGCCAATAGTTTAGTTACAGTAGATTTTAGTCGTCGTGGAACACACTAACAGTAGATACAGCTTTGTTATTTGTAAGGTTTATATTTTTTGAGAAAATCGAATAAGAGCTCTAAGGTCCTAGGGGGTAGGTCACCCCTTTACCTTCTGTCGGTTGTAACGTCATAGAAATCGATGAACACCGGCTGCACGCACGGAAAAGTCTGACGTCACGTCACGTTGTCACGAGTTAGCGTTGAACTAATACGTGTCAACGTGATGTGACGTCAGACTGAAATTTTCTTTGGGAAACCAATCAAACCACCCACCACGGAGAGAGGTCGCGGAAGCCCGCTAGAACCAAACAAAATAATGCACTAAATAAATGAATATCAAAGAATTCTAATTAAATCAAGATAAAAGTAGATACTTTTCACCACCTCTATAGTACGATATCCCGTGGTAACACGTTAAATTTTTGCTTTTCATTTCATTCTTATGCCGCATGCCGACGTGAGAACTATATAGTAGTGGTAACTACCTTACAGATGCTTGTCGAGAAAGCTGACTCGATACATTTTGTGCCAAACACTTCAAGAAACATTAGAATGCGTCACACCCACATTGTAATTTAAAAAAAAGAAGCTTAATACAAAAATTGTACGATGGCTGCATTGCTTTGTCTATGCCTTTACCAATAGGAAAGAATAGCACTAAAAAAATATGAGAGTTTTGGCGGGATTTTATCGAGTGTGGTTGGCGTCTTATTCTAATTAAATAATAAAGAAATAAATATTTCCAACACTCACACCAATTAGCCTAGCCCCAAAGTAAGCACTGTAAAGCTTGTGTTATGGGATGCTAGGGTAATGGATAGAATACATATACTGTATATATAAAAGTACACAATAAACATCCACGACTGGAGTACAAATGCTCGTATTCATCATACAATCATCTGCCCCCACCGGGATTCGAACCCGGGACCTCTCGAGTCGGCGACACCATGAAACACTCGGTACAAAACGCGTTCAAACCACTCGGCCACGGAGGTCGTCAATTATTCTTAAATTCGTTCATAGTGGATATTGTGAAATAAAATTGCTGTGATTTTGTGTTACAACCGTCTGCGCAAGTAAAGAATTAATGGAATCTTTAAAATATACGGTATTCCGGTCAAGTGGACGTGAGAATTTTATTGTAGTGTTGACTACCTCACAGAAGCTTATCGAAAAAGCCAGCTCGATACATTTCGTGCCAAACACTCCAAGAACAGAATGCGTCTCACTGACATTTTAATGTAAAAATTAAAAAAGATTGATATAACTAAAGATTAGGCTGTATGGGCATTATTCCCTTTGCTTTTTCTAAAACAGGAGAAACTTAAAAAAAATATAGATACGTCAAAAAAGTGAGGTTAGCTTGTGAACTCAAACTCGGAAAAAAATTAAAATTCCGTATTTCTAAATAAAAATGTTACCTCCGGCTAGCGGCACAGGAAAGTATTTTGCGAAGGCAGCTAAATCTATACGTTTGATCCGCCAGGGGTGTACTAATAGGCCATTCTTTCACATATCTGTTACACAAGTAAGTACTAGATATTATTGTTGATAGTAATTTAATTAACAGGGCTAAAAATTACTAACTGATGGATTACTCCCATTCTCTGTTTGCTGCTATTCGGTAAAGCGACTACAGGATACACAATCGAGGAGATTATCTAGGTATTTTCCATTCTGAAGTAGGTATCTAACTTGCCAGTATAGCCGTAATTAGTTCTTAGATTTCACTCTTAATATCTGGCGTGTGTTAATTTAGATAATTATTAGTGAACATGAGTAAAATATAAATATTCTGAGCATTATCATTCACTTAGAATTAAACGTTTTGAAATCAGAATAAAGGATTATTACTTTTGATTTAATATACATTGATATGTAAAAACAGAATAGTTACCTACTTTTTTAGTAAATCCTCAGTACCTATATTGTTGATATAAAAAAATGTGACCAAACTTTTATATTTCTCCAGTTGTTACTATGTTATTATTTACATAATTCATTGATAATTTCTACTGTTACAGAGAAGGAGACTTAACAGCCAACCAGTGATTGAGCAACTTGGTTCATATGATCCTATGCCAAATATAAACAATGAGAAATTGGTAGCACTGAATTTAGAAAGGATAAAATATTGGCTTGGCAAAGGTGCTCATGTGACACCACCAGTTGCAGAAATACTTGGTATGGCACTTTAAAAAAATGTTTTATCTTATAATTTAAGTTTTTTTTAAAGCATGTAACTGCTTGATGTTTAAATCTATGTTGTTTGTCTAAGTTTTATCTTTTTATCATTTTATTCCAACTATAATCTTCATTAATTGACTGTGATTTATCAATTCTTAATTCAAATCAACTGTGATTGAAGTAAAATATGTAAGTTCACTATATTAATCACGCGTCCAATCCTAGGGAAAATCTCTTTCGTCTATATTTTAAGACCTTGTTCTTTGTGGTATCTTTGATGTGTTTAATTTCTTTTGTGCAATTCAATCCCGAGAGAAAAAATATCTGAAAGGTACCTATCAGAAAATATATTGATTTCTTTTATAATGAGAACATGATCAATAATAATGACTAATATATTTTTGGCTTACTAATTGTTAATGAAATGTGCTTTCTCATTTCAGGTCTATCTGGTTTCTTCCCAATCCACCCTAGATCATACATGACAGCCTGGAGAAATAGAAAAACCGAACAAGAGAATATTGCAAAACAAATTGAAGCTGAAAAAGCTAAAGAATCAACTGCTGCATAAAAGAACTGGAGAGAAATTTGTATTATACTGAAGTCAGTAGTCTCTGTTTATCCAGAATGGTAAAATTTGTCAAACTGATTTTGATCTTATTGTGTTTCACATTAGAAACTAATTATTACGTTAAACTTTGTTAATGGCTAACACAAGTCTTGATTAACTCATGAGCGGTTACCTACTGTAACAGTTGTTAAATTTATAGTTTAATTATAGGAATGTAAATAAGATGCTGCTTTTTTATTTGTAGATATATGATTATTTATCATATAACTAACAAGTAAATGAAACTAATTTTCCCCCAATTTAAAATTTATAAAAAATAAAACCTACTTGCTACAAATAGAAGAAGTGATACTAACACTGGCATACTGTCAATTATGTAAGTTAGACTATCTTACTATCACATTACATAATAATGGAAGAAGAGCACCCTGATATGGTCTGTAACATTGATATTACCTTTGTAGGAAATTCCTTTTAGAGTAGAATGAAAACCAATGCTCTCTACATATAAAATACCACCTGCAATTATATTTTTCCTACATATTTAGACACCAAACTATTATTTATGTGATTATAAATAAAACACACAATCACAATGAATTCCTTTTATTACTCGAAAAAATTATGATATATTCCTTGCATTGAATACAATACCATCAGCTAAAATGTTTCGTGACTCCAGCTGGACTACTAATTGCTAGAATTTCATATTTAATAGAAACTTTATGTAATAGGTCAACTTATTAAAAAAAGAAAAAGTATTATTTAGATGATACAGTTCAAAAAAAATTAATTATTCACAATTGTATTTGTATTCGTCACAATCCTAGTAGTCCTAAAGAAGTCACTCGCATCAAAATGTCAAAGGCACGTAATGTTGGTAACATGGAGTTCAACAACAAGCGAAAAACATTAAAATCCTCTACACATGATTATACGACGTTCAACACTCGACTATGATTCTTATCTACTTTCAGATTAACACAACATACAAAAATATGTTTCAATAAAATCAATGAAGTATGTACTTAAAATTTCAAAATGGCAACAAGGAAAATTATTTATACAGGCAACACTAAAACTGACCGTTCAAACTTAAAATAAGAAACAAACGTAAACAATCATTAAAATTACTAAAATTCCTTGAGCAAACGTGTTACTATTAAGAAATATTGTACAAGAAATTCATTGTTATAGGAAAGAGATCTTAAGATATGGAAATAAAAAAAACAAACTAATGCATTTACTTAGTTACTAATCTCGGCAGACCATGGGAAGGAGATAACTAAAATTTAATTAAAATGTAAAGGAAAGGGAAATTATACATAGTTTCGTCACGATTAGTTATAAAAACAACTTAAAAACAAACACTGATTTTACAAAGAACCAATTCTGCAATGAAAATTGGCGGCATGTTTTTATAAGTCTTTTAAAGTACACTGACTTTGTGGATAGTTAAGAAAAAGAGTCTTATTTCAGTCTAAACAGTCCATTGTATACAAATTGACTTTTGTTTTTAGAATTATAAGTTTACTTTTTTTTGTTGAATGCTCGCACAATTTAGCACACAGGGATACCTTCAGTTCCGTCAATATAAAGGCAATACCAATACGTCTTTAGTACTATATTAAAAAAGCCAGTGATTGCATTGCAAAGCTTAAAGTGTGTGGGTGCTGATAAAGATTTTGTACTTCGCTCCCAAATAATGAAATGGTCAATAAATCTAATTATTCTTCCTTATGGCATCTGCTACCAAACGGGAGGCTGAAAAGAAAACAAATAGTAATTTATATTAATCAATATTAACATAGTATAGTATAGCAGAAAGAGTTAAATCGTTAGTTACAGACTCTTGACATAATATAACAACGAATTACACATTACACACTTAGCAGACCATTTTTCTTTGTAATACATAAAAAAATTGTAATACAAATTAATAGTGATATAACTTTGCTAGTTCTACTGTGTATGGTCACAAGATTTAATCTAATTATAACAAACAGCGTATTAATTCTATAGGTACTGAAGAATTAACTAATAATTAATATAATATTGATAAAGGTATGTGTTATCAAAGGCTAAGGCCCCATTGTTTGATACCTTGTTAAATGAGACTTTTTTTATATTTGGGTAGGCATATGACCCCACCTGATGTTAAGTTGTGGTAATTAGTCAATGTCATGTCAAATTCTTAGTGACATATGTAAAATATCGCTTTTTCTAACTTATTTTAAGAACATGACGACAACATATCAAACAAGGAAGAGTAATTAAATCGTTACGTTATAACGATTTAATTCTTTGGTAACACAATTGCTATAAAATATTTTTCTATATTCTATGATTAACGTGGTCATTGCAATCTACGTACTTACCTACTTTTTTGTTTAATGTGCTAAGGTGTTGCTTGTTTCTACATTAGTAATTATGTATTTCATAATTAATCCAAAATGACGTAAATATTATAGCAAAACAAAACAGTTGCAGCATAAAGTAAAATTTTATTATTTTTTATAATTCATAAATATGTTAAAGCTGGCTTATAATTGATGTTAGTTAATTAATTACCGTCATAGCTTAAAATATCAATTATTTGCATTGCAATTAAGATAGTTGGTTATCTGGCAGAAAATATAAATAACATAATATTAGTAAATAAGTCCGGTGCAAGTCACAAACACAAGCTCAAGCCATGTTTTGCGCAATTAAGCCCTTTTTGGAAAATAATTAATAAATACCTATATGTATGTATATTTTTATTTTAAAGCATTTAACTGCTAGATTTTTAAATCTTAATAAATCATATTATTGTATATGTTAAAAAATATATTAATTAAAAAAATATTTTTTTAAGTATATAAATGTTTTTTTTTAATAGGATAGTTTTTCCGTCAATAATAAATCGGTCAAAGTATTCCGTTTAAATAAATAAATTAAATTAATAAGCCGCGCGAAATTCATGAAATATTATTAAACTATCTTATCTAATCACCGACAGAAAGGCTAATACATAACAATAAATATTAACATAAATCAAAACGAAAAAAAAACTTTTAAAGCAAAGCATTTTTATTACTTGGTACCCAAAGCTGCATAATTTTCTGCCAGATATTAATTACTGTTAATTCAATTTACCCGCCAAAGTTCGATCTCATGCCACCTCTATCAATCTTCGGTTTTTTAACCTAGATTAAATAAACTGGCATCGTAGAACTTAAACGTTACCATTTGTTCAATTTAAAAACAAAGCGATTGTTAGTTTTTATTTCCAACAAATTCATCACTACTTACTTACCAAAGAGTATTGTGTAAATGTTCTTTAATCAGCTTTACCTACAATCAACGAATTATGTTTTAAGCATGGATATAAGTATTAAAAAAATATATAATAGGATATAACTACAGATCACCTACATAACTATATGTTTATTTTCTTCTTTTTTAAATTGTCATATTAACTTAGTCTACATGATCTTGTGATAAATCCGAAAGCAATAAAATAACGATTTTTAATTGTGAGTTTAACTAAACGTAATAAATTATACTAAATAAATAATAAATATTTGCAATATTAAAGCTATTTTAAAGTTAAAAACTAAAATAGATTGCAAATAATCGCAAAACCCTTGATTCTGTATTAGAAATGAGTGTACCTACTTCTAAAATCCTTTTTCTTAATAAATACGTAACTTAACTACAAAAATAAAACAAAAAGCACATACTCCGTTTTATGAAAAAAAAAATCATCACAACAATTTATCTTGGATTAATTCGTACATTAATTTCAGTCTGAAAACTTTCTCATGGACTGATTGATCTTGTTGTTTGCTCCTTGCACCAATTCCCGCGTATTTACCACTTGAAAGAGAAATAAATAATAAATAAAATAGCTGGTTTGGTGCATTTTGTTTTTAATTATAGATAATCTAGCAAATGCTAACGGAAACTAGGGACACGAAAAAAGTATCGATACTTTGTGGTATCGAGTACTTTTCCTTTCGATACCGATACTTTTGTACTCGATACTTTGTATTCGATACTTTTACTAAATGAGTACTTTTTGGCAAGTATCGATACCTTTAAAAATTTGGATAAGCGCCTCATATTGATGGCAACGCCATCTTGTTAAATCATAGCAAACCTTTTAAAACGTTCCATAGGGTATTTGACAAGTTTTAGGCAACGATCTCACGTTATTGACTAATGTTTATGGAGTCCGTTAAAAGTGGATATTCATCATTCTGTCTGTTAGTCCAGGCAACGAAAAGGTATAGAGGGAAATGCTTAGAACACAATTTTTGACTTTGTTACTTTGTTAGGACTAGTTAGAAGGTAAACATATCAAAAGTCCCCGCCCGTAGCCCTTAAGCCGGGGGGAAGGGGGGGGGGGGGGGGACTGAAGGTCCCATTTTTAGGGTTTTCGCATATATCTCGGAAACTATGCATCCTAGCGACATGAGACTTTGACAAAAGTGAAAGCTGATTAAATTTGCTACAAGTACTATTCAGTCAAGTTTTTTGATATCTTGTATAGTTTTCGAGATATCCGCTCTTAAGTCTGTAATTATGGGAAAAAAAATTTGCTTCACATTTTTGCTCAATTTGACCGGATAACTCTTCAACAATGCCGGCCGTAAGGTTGTTGGTTCCACAAGCCCGCCAAAACAAGGATGGAACTGACATTGCCAAGCTCACCGATTGGTTTGAGAAATTTCCTCCCTTCCCAGAGACCAGAGACATTATCAAGTCACCAGAAATCCAGAAAGCAGCAGCGGTCTTTTCACACCCTTTCTCCACCACCGCTCAAGTACAAAAGGCAGGTGAATACTTCATCTTAAGGTGGTATGGAGCTCCAGCGAAAGAGATTTCCCTCAATGCCTACAGGTACAAGTCATTCTTGAAATCAGTGGCCACCATCAAGCCTGATATCTCTTGTCTTCCTCCCACCGAGGGAGCAGTAAAACAGTATTCCCAAGAAGTGGTGGCATTTTTTTTTTCCATAATTACAGACTTTCTCGAAAACTATACAAGATATCAAAAAACTTGACTGAATAAGACTTGTAGCAAATTTAATCAGCTTTCACTTTTGTCAAAGTTTCATGTCGCTAGGATGCATAGTTTCCGACATATATGCGAAAAACCTAAAAATGGGACTTTCAATCCCCCCCCCTTCACCCCGGCTTAAGGGCTAC